CTATTGATAGGCGATAATGGAATCAGCATGGCTATTTGCATAACTCTGCTTGAGGGCTTTTGGCGATTTGACTAACTCTGTTCGCCATTTTCAACTGCATTAATTTCGGTGCGTATGTGTAAACAATAATTGTCAATTTATTTAATTTGAAGCCTACAGCAAAGGCATTATCAAGTCATGTGCGGAATGGGCATTAAACTCTGCACAGGTATAAAAAGCAGTAATTGGTATTTATTCGAACTGAGTCAATTAATTCGCATGGCTGAGTTCTAATTCATTTCCAATTCGTTTAATTGCACGTTTTGTTCGTTACTCCTGTTGTCTACAAATTGGGTTTGATATAATGCATATTTGAAACAAAATGATAATTACTGCATTGCAACTTATTTCTCCTGTAAGCTGTGATATTCACCCAAGGAGATAGTTCCTCGTAATTGGCTTATTCAATAAAATGCTCCACAAAGCGCACTACATGCCCCATTTTCAATTTCAATTTCAGCATTTTGCAGTCAGTTACTCCTCCATAATCTTCACCGCATTCCATTTGCTCCACTTCATTTGGCGGAGACTTATTTTGGCACTTAGAGCCAAGTTCGCCGTGCCATCCCTCATTTTGGAATTCATTTGGCATTTCATTTACTTTGAGCCAAACTTTCGCAAATCCACTTTGTAAATATTTTGGGCGGTGCGGGGGAGGACACTCGCCTGCCAGGGGAGTGCAGAGCGCCATATTGCAGTCACTTCCATTTCCGCTTCCGCTTTCCCAGCTTAAACTAACACCTGCAACTGCGGAACGACAGATAGCGGCGGGTCACAAAAACCGCGATGCGCGCGGAGCAGCAACAACAAGCCCCGTAAATAGTGCTGCAACTAACAGATACCCTGTACCAAGCAATTGAATTGAAAGGCTTTCCAGAAGAGCTTGGCTCTGTATTAATAAAGGTCTTGTGCAAACTGGACTAACTTTACTAAATATATAAATGTATTACTTATGGAAAATTGCAGTAGATTTATTAAAATTTCCCAATTTGCTCTTTAATGCATGTATTTCGGCAGGCAACGTGTGGTTCCCCTTGAAAGTCCCCTAAGTTAACCCTGGAGCACCGGAGGGTGTAAAAGACAAAATGGAAATAATCTTCAGATATTACATATTATCCGGGTTATCTCTGCACCACTGCTCAGCCACTTCCTCCTGAGTTCTCCACCAGCTCTGCGCGGAATCCACTTAAAAACTTTTCGCGAATGGCGACGGAGGGGGGCGAGTTTTTACTGGGCTGCTGCGACATTTATTTACGTGTGTCCGAGGCGAAAGTTTTTATGCCCCAAAATGGGGGCTTCTGGGTTGGGTGGTGTGGGCGAGCACAAAAAATATATCACAGTTTCCGTTGACCCATCGCACTCACCGCACCGTAATCACTATGCCCACCGTGAGCGCCGCTATGGTGGGCCACCACGTGGCGAAGGGATCCGCCTCCTCGAACATGGTCAGCAGGCGCTCCATCCTTGAGTGTATGCCTTGGATGCTTCTGGGTGCCTTCTTCCCTGCAATCGGTGAATCAATCTGGCACTGGGTCTGCACGGCACAATTGTTGAACGCGTACTGAGCGGCATCCGTAGTAATAAATAGGAATCCTCATTGCGTGGTCACCCGCTGGGTGCAGCATAAGTGTGTGTGTGTGCGCACGTGGGACTACAGTGGTCGCTGCCTAATGAGGACTGGAGATGGAGTGTGGATTTTAAGCAGCTCAAAACTGGAAGATATGGATAAAATGGTCTGAGATTACCCAATGGTGAGATTACCCATATCACAAATAATCATTTTTGATAATCATTTTCAAAGATTTGTTCAGTATTTAATATATTTAATAGCTAATAATAAATATAGTTATAATAATAAATGGCAGATACCATAGAATCGTGTGTGTGTGGATAAGAAAGTATATCAATTATTGTTCACATAATATTGCTGCTTTAGTACACTTTCGCTTCGAGAGTGAGATATTTTGATGGCTTCTATGGTGTTTGTTCTAGCGAGAGTTGCCTGTTGAAGTGCGGGCTAGTGAGTGGACTCGCTCACATCTGAGCGAGATTTCCAGAGCCGGCGTGGAAGATGTCGTTGACAATTGAATTTAAATGACCACCGCAGCCCGCGCGGCACCGCCGCCTATTTTCCGACCCTCGAATGTCACCGGCATATTTTCAATTTACATAAATGCTTGTTGCGCGGCATACGAAATGAGCGCTAGAAGGAGAGGGGCAACTTGCCCCTCGCTACCCATTTTCGTGCCCCCCGTTTGATTTTTCCGAGCTTTCCACCTGTCGTGGCTCTGAAGGTTAGGTGCAAATTTGCACAAGCCGCAATACCAGAACGTGAGAGGGTCGGAAAATGCCGCTCGCTATTTACACACGTTTTCCGTTTTTTAATTTGTGTTTTTACTCCGCTTTTCATCCATTTTTTGCCTTCATTTCCTGCGGCTTACGCATTCAGTTAGCATATTTTTGCATGTGGCAACGCAGACTAATGTGGTTCAATTAATCTTTTCGCGTTTTTACCTCGAAGATGCCTTTTTTATTTACTCGAAAGTATAAATAAATTTTAATTATTCTTTAACAGCTGTTGTCTGGGGATAAAATAGGCAGCATCATTAGTGTTTCAGTATTGAAACTATTTTTATTATTTAAAGTAATAGATGCCTGTGCCTTCACATCCAACGAACTGGTCAAATATGAATAATGAAAATGTGCTTATTTGATGGCTATGTAAATAGAACAAAATGTAAATAAATCTTTTAAATTGGCTAAGCTCACCACATCCAGATTTGTCAATCTGCACTTAAGTCCAAAAATACAAACCCATGGAATTGAAACCCTTATTTACCTTATCCATTGTCCAAATTTATTATCCGCAAGAACTCGGCGGAGAGCCATCATCACTTGGTGCCGGAAAATAGTGGAAAATGCTGGGAAATGCCCTTCATCCGCACTCGGTCCATTTCACTGCAGCTGCCACCCTTTGCACCCTTTGAAACTTCAATTCAATTACAACGCATCCATAAAACATGCCAGTGACTAAATATATATTTTTCGAGTAATTTAGTCCGCCGCACATCGAATGTAGTTTCCACAGCCCCCATGGAGCCCCGGACTGTGGAAAGTGCACTCCATGCACTTTACGCCTCCAGTTCGCAGTGTTGTTTCCATTTCCGGTTGAACAATTGATTGAACATGCCCATATATGGGGGCTGCCCGCCCCCTTGCGCCCACTTGTGAAATAAATGAAATTGCACACTCGAGTGGATCTTTGTACGTGTATTAATACTTTTGTTATATTTTCGCATTCGTTTATTGAACGTTCGTCAATTTACATACTCTGTGTCTAATGTAGCCTATGTTCTGGCAACTGCATGTGGATTTCAACTTTAGTCTGCGTTGCCTTTCGTGTCTCGTGTTTCAATTCGATTCGATTCGATTGTGGTTCATTGTTGCATTACGTGTAGTTTAAGTCGATTTCTTAGTTGGTTTCATTAGTTTTAACGCTAAGTGGTAAGTTGTTCGGATATTATGATCTTGCATTGATGTGCGTGTTCTTATATACGTGTGTGTGGTGTTTCTGTGTGTTAGTGGGCTTGCATGATAGATAGATAGATAATGTATCTGCGTATTTTGCTTATTTTGTTTGCGTGGAACTTTTTCTCATTTCATCTGCAAAATATAGAATTTTCACAAGCGAAAGTGCATGAGTTCAACGTCTCTCTATGTCTTTGTGTAAGTCGGTTTACGAATGGACAGTGCGTTTTATAACTACAAGTCGAATTAGCGGGAAATTAAACCAATTATATTTGTTTCATTCAACGAAGTTCGCCGGAAAGCAATAGTAATGGTATTACAAATTGTGTGTTGTTAGTTCAACAAGAAAACAAATCAATTTCAGCTAAAAGTAACTATTTCTAAAAGATATTGTAGTTTTAAAACACACTGCATGTGTTGCTATCCTAGTCTAATCGCTCAGTTATTTTAAGACAGCTCAAGCATCTTGTGGATGTGATTAATAACTTTATATACACATGAAATCGAATTCAGCTTGATAACAAACAATCGATCAACAGAAATGTATTAACAATTCAAACATTTTAAGGTTCGCTAAGAATTATCAATCATAGTTGGTTTTTTCATTCATTAATCATTTGCTTTGTCCATTTAAAATTAGTATCACTAATAAGCTTTTGTTTTAATGTGTATATTCTCTATGCAGCAAGAGGTGATAAATAGTCCTCGCCATTTAAGCACCTCACCAATGTCTTTATTTCGATCTACTTTAGTTCAGTTTGTGTGTGTTTTCGTTCATTGTGTAGTTTGTGTGTTGACTTGTTACTAAAGTTAAAGTTTTACTTTTGCTTGGTCGTCAATTGTAAATATATATTATTATATTCATAGGCATAGAATTTGCGGTATCTGCAATAGGTATATGTAATCCTTTATACGCGCAACTAATCCCAAACTCTCATTTCCTATACAGTTTGAAAATGTCCGCGAATTCTTGAGGATGTGGGCGATATCTACTCAGCGCTGCCACGCCCCCGACCTAGCCTCACCCATTTAGGTATATGTATGTAGGTGTAAATGATTACAAGCTAGAAATTGTAAATTTATGCTACGCAAACTTGAAAAGGACAATAAAAATAGTCTCTGGAATATTTACAGCGGTTTCCTAAGGTGGGCGTGGGTATTCTGGGTTTCGGCTATGGGGGAATTCTCGTGGATATGTGGTAACTACCGGGAGCTATCATTATGGCCATCATGGCCTCGACATATGCATACTAAACTGGAAAAATGTTTTGCAATATAGTGTGTATGAATAAATTCCGATTTCGCTTGGAATTTCGTGTGTTTTATGCGCGTTGATGTTGCACGCTTTTTGTACAAGCTTGTCCGCAGAAATTGTTATTAATAATTTATTGATACAACAATTTGTGATATTTTTAGAGTCGTTGCGTGCCTTTCAATTTATTTATTTATGCATTTTTAGTACTGGGGTTGGGCCATCAATTCGAACCTAGCTCGTGTATAGTTAATCCAATCGGGCGATGTGCGGATTTGGTTATATACTATGTACAAATTGTTCTAGTGTCCAGACTCGCTGATTTACGCCGCAGACTTCTCCGCTTGGTTGCTTTTTTGGCCAATTCGGGCTGCTGGTCGTGATGCATTCACAAGGCCGATATGAGGGTCATAAAATCTGCAAATAGCGAAGCGAACAAATATGAAAATTAGATTAGCGGTCGTGATGGCTGCGGCTAAGCAAATACACATGTAATTCCATATTCCCAGCGATGTCGGCCGATTGATTCGGCTTATTTATATAAGCCAAAAGCGAGCTTCTGTGTCAATGAATATCGTATATTCAATTTGTGGCAGTATATTCAATTTGAATATTGGGATAGCAATAAGTAGCGCTTATAACACTTGGATCTGTTATAATAACACACATAGTTTCTTTTGCATGCTAAGAGCGGATAATAAGCTAACACAATGTGTACGGAATCAGGAACTAGCATCACTTAATGGCCCCATAAATTAGGTTCATGACTCTCAAATTAATGAACTTTTGCGGCAATTAGCTCATATAAATTTATTACTTAATGCATGAGGGTAATTTCGGGCAATGCGAACAGGCCAACCACGAGCATATCGCACTGCCGTTGGGATCCCAAGCCCATTATTTGGTAACTGGCATTGTCAGGGCCGTTTCCTGGGGTCTCAACACTTTTCGGCCATGGCTCAGACTCATTTCGTGTAATGGACCATTCGGTTATTTGTTATTAGCCCAAATGGGCATTCAACAAACCTAAAAAGCCGCTGCAAAATATGGCAACACTTTGCTTTCGGCCACTATATGTGCCAGTGGTAACCAGAATCCAATCGATTTTAACAGTCAGAAGGCAAAAGGTTTCCTCGTGGGAATATCCGGTGAATGTTGTGTCACTTTATGGCCAGTTCAGTGCGTTACAGCCTAAGACTGGAAATAATATTGGGTTACATGTTGAGATTGTTGGGAACTTTCATTTTGAATCATTTTCGTATCGATTGTGACCTTGAAATCCCCATTCCACACACACTTTAATATGAAGTATACACTCGTATAGGGCCATGAATTTTCAGAGCCCGACAATTTTTTAATCAACACCCAGATGGCCAACAGCAACAAATGGCCCGAAACGAAAACTCAGCTACAAAATGTCGCTGGCGCAAATAAAAAACAAATGCAAAATATTCCCTGGCTATTTTGGCACGTGCACGGCCCGCATTGTTGTTGCTGTGCTTATTGTTACTGTTGTAGTTGTTATTGTTGTTGTTGTTGTTGTTGTTGGCGATTGTGTGAACCTTGATTAACGCAACAGGGGGGTGGAGGGGGTGGCAGGGGAGCCGGCGGTGGGGATATTGTTGCTGTTTGCCAAATCTCTCGGCGCTGTCTCTCTAAATTTTAACTATGAATGTCCTGGGCCAGCAACAACAACAACATAAATTATACACTTGAAAAAAAGCAAAGAATAGTAGGCAGAACTGAAAATATTTTGAGCCCTAAAGATATATGCAAATGAAACATAAGAGTGTTTGATTTCTTGAAGTTCCTTGTTTGACTTTCAATGTATTAAATTGCAGAATTGCATGCAACATGCTAGTTTCTCCAAGTGCATTCGCCTATTTGTGTGCGCAAGTTGTTTGTGTGCGAGTTGGCAGTAAAATTTGTTTACCAAAACCTTCTTAGCTTGGCTTAGTAGCCCCCACCGCCATTGTTTGTGTATTTGCATTTCGGCTACTCTGGCTGTCTTGTGCACCCCAAGAGCAGCCCCAAAACCACCCATTACGCCCCCATCACGCCCCCTTGAGCCCCTACCCCTTTACCTACGCCCCTGGGTGTGAAATTTCATGCATATATGTATCTATGAATGCGCGTGTGTGTGAGTTGGCGAGAGAGTTCGTGCCTCGCCTTTGGCCTTTTTTGCAGCTTTTGCTTTTTAGCCACTTTTGTTTGCCCTGCTGTTGTTGCCTTTGTTTGCCGCTCCTTGTGCCTTGTTCCTTGTTCCCTGGCTTTGGGTTGTGGACAGCCCGGAGTCCTTTGACCAGGCTGTCAGCGGAAAAAAGGGAAAGGGATTGGCTGGAATAGACGGAATAGTATGGAAACGGCGTCGCACTAAAACATCTCAGACAAGTGAAATGTAAATTGGTTTCCCGCCACTTTTCCATTGTCGCGGGAAATGCAAAGCGCATTTGGTCCAGGCATTGTAAGCGGTTCAATGGGAACATAATCCCCAAAAAAATACAAACGAAGAGGTTTTTAAATGCTTGTATTTCAACTAGTTGTTTTGAGAGCGTAGTTTGTTCTTTTATTATTATTATTATTAATAAGAGAGTTTAACAGTTGTTGCAAGCTTTCAGGAAAATCGCAATTAAATATACGCCTTTTGGAAATTACTTAAAATTAATTAGAGCAGAAAAGTAACTTTGTAGTTACTCCAGCGGTAACTTTGGATCACAGGTCGGGGTAATCCTTTGGCGAGGTCAGCAGCCTCTAAGCTTTCTGTTTTATGATATTGCCGGAATTTTATATTCCACGGCAGTCAAATGGAGGGATTTTTGGTAACCTGGCCCAGCTGCTGCCCAACGCCCGTTGGGTGTCGGAATCTCGGGCTCGGCCTTTTTGGCCACTGGAACCGCAGCGTGGAACGTGTTATGCAAATCTGGCCGGGATTTTGCTGGCCTTTATTTGGCCTGCAAGGGGATCTGCTGTTGACCATCTGCAGTGCCAACGGTGGCATCAAAAACAATTTAGCTCCGCATTTTTTGCCACCGGAGCACTCTTTTTGATTCACTCAAAATGTTAATTTAAATTGCAAACAGTCCATTGTTTCGCGCTTATTGTTCTTTTCATGTTTACCGTCGTCCCAGTTTTAGCCACCTTTTCCGCAATTAGCATTGCAATGAGGGTTGCCAAGGGTTTTGGCCTAGGTTGTCGCATTAAAAATGATATCCCAAGTAGATGGCACAAATTGCTTACGATTATATTTAATAGCTCGCTCAAGTGGGCCCCATAAACGTGCAACGAGCAGCCCATTTAAATTCCGAGTTGGAAACTAAGGGATGTGTTCTCGAGGCGACTCCATGCTCAAAGGCAAAAGCAATTTATCAAAAATCGGTCAAGAGCACTCGCAAAACGGAAATAGGAAACGCGTGACCTTTGGCCATACAAGAACTGAAGTGAACGGTGTGGTTTCCACCGAGGAATAATAGCGAGAGCACTTATCCTAAGTTTTAGTCTGGATGGCAATCCGTTATATAAAAGTAAAGATCAGAAATTTCACAGGGCACTCGAAATTATTTTATACATTCTACTCTGTTCTCCACAAAGCAAACTTGGACTTGCGATTTTTCCAATTATTGGGGGTACTGGCACGACATCTGATACCTCTCGATAGAAAGGGAAGGGGAGTAGTAGGTCAGGCATACAGTATAATAAATGAAGCACATGTCCAATCACTTGTGCCATTTTGTTCGCCAATCAAAGTTTTCAGAGCGCTTGAAAAAGGAACTAAAACAAAAAGACTGAAAAGTTTGTGAACTTTCTGCAGGCCAACTTATCGACAGTCTCCGGGCCACAAAACAATCAAAGCGAGCCCCGTTACGAGAAAGGGGCGGTGTCGGGGGTGAGGCTGAGGGCGTGGCACACATCCCAGGGTAAACAATAAACTTCAATTATGAATATTTCAGCAACTGGGATGGCAAAGTGCAGGCGAAAGAGTTGAAACATACTCAAGGTGCGACAGCAGCAGGAAAAGGACAAACTTTGGGGCTAAAACTCTCCGTGGGAAAGTTGACGAGAAGGTGAGGAAAGTTCAGGGGCATTGACTTTGATCTTGGTGCTCCGGCTTTGTTTGCCATGCCATTCGAAGGCAAATAATAGAGGACCAAATAAGCAGCAGCTCGCCGAGTTTGAAAGCAATTAAATGGGATTTTCGCCCGGCTTAATGGCCATAGGACGACGACGGGGCCCATCTAATTAATAATTAAATTAAATTTCCGTCCCAACCATAAAAGTATTAATTGCTGTCCACAAATCTGGCTTAGCCCAATCCCTCAAGTGGCCAATAACCCACCGATTCCGAGCTGAAGAAGCCCGTCAGCTGCCATTCCGTCCGAAGTGTTGCCTTGTTGCTTCCGGTGGTGGCAGCAGCTCGAAAACCAATTGCTCCTCCGACTCCTCCGACTCCGCCTCCCAGGAGCTGGCTGCCGAGATTGGATTGGGCGATAATAAAAAATGAGCCATGCCCCAATGCCACCAGCCCACAAGCCAATGTAATGTGCAGCTCGGGCACGGGCGCCGTTTCCGCTTCCCGTTGGACAACTTCCGGTGGCAGCAGTTTGGCGCCACGTCACATTGACAGCCTCCACACGGCCTTATTAATATTGAAGCAACGTGTGTGAGTGTGTGTTTGTCCTCCCAATGGCCGCATAAAATGCTTCAGCAGTACGAAAGTGCCAAAGTGTCTCTAACTATACTGAAAAAAACATGTAAGCAAAGTTGTCCGGTAAGCTAACCAAGTTCAGTCACATCTACAAGTCCTTCGACCTTTGAATTTAGTGAATACTTTTAGTAATTACTTTGCTGCTTTGAAGCAGGCACCTTTATTTTCATTTGGCCATAGATTCACTCACAATAAGCTCATAATAAGTGCCCGTATAACATAATATTTGCAATTGTATGTACAAGAAGTGTCAGTTTTTCTCTCTGCATGAATCGTGTGATAAAAATGCGCTGAAGTTGGGGGGAAAAGTGGAGAGACGCAGGCCCGAAATTGTATTGCAATAAAATGATTTATTTGCCCATATTTCCATTCGCAGACCAGCGAGTCCGACTAAAAGTGGCAGTTGAGCCACTGACATGTTGAAATATGCCATTGTCTTGTGGCACGCGCAGGATTCTTTGTGGGGCCGCTCTCATGAAAATGTAATAATTCCGATGCCAATGCTGAAAAGGACAGCCTAGACCGCCATGTGGAGTGTGTTGATAAGAGCACACGCCGTAGAACCAGATTTTCCATCTACAGAGGCCCGTGTCGCTCAACTCGGACTTGTTATGTCATCCGCCCCGTTTTATTGCAGCCGCAACTTTTATTAAATCGCCATGAGGAACCACCGAAGGAGCAGAAAAAGGGAGCTTGGAAAAAATTCATTTTTGGA